GTCTCTCTCTCTCTCTCTCTCTCTCTCTCTCTCTCTCTCTCTCCCTTCCTCTCTGACATCAATAAAAATATATTTTTTAAAAAAAGAATATGCTGTTCGTAGGTAAATGACACCATATCCAATCATGGAACACGTGCTTCCCTAATTTATCAAGAATTCTGCTGACTCTTCCCGTATCCCTCACCCACCCCTCCCATGCCCACACATTGCGTGAATACCAAGGGCATCCGTGTCTGAAATGAGCAGCTGGGCTGCTGCCTGCATTTGGAGGCCCCCGACTTGGCCCAGTCCACTGGCCTCCACATGAGCTGTGCCCATGACTCCGGTCTCATTAGCGCCATGGCATCTGTGACTGCGTAACTGGTCCAGACTCGTCCACATCAGATAGAATTCCCTGCGTTTGTTCTTGTAATAAACCAAGCTGAGAGCTGCTTCTGAGACACAGTAAAAGTCTTCAGAGAACTCACCACCGCAAACGAGTTCAGTGTTTGGAATGTCTGACGCCCACAAAGAAAAGCTGGCCGGGCCGGGGCGTGCTAAGGGGCCCTTCTTGGGGCGCTGCCCTCCTCCTGGGTCCTGGGGTCTCGGGGCCTGGTAGGCGGTCAGGCCCTTTCACAGGCCCGTCTCCCCGGGGTGTTTCCCTTCTGCTGGTCCCGCAGACAGATCTCAGTGGGGTAGTCAGGGTGTCATCCGTGGAAAGAGCCCCACAAATTAGCTCTAAGCTTCACTTCTGCAGGGAAACCTCTCTCGCAAGCTAAGTGTCTAAAACAGACGCAGGAAGCGTGGGGCCTGGCACGGGTAACCTCTTTACAAAAATCTTATAAAATATGTTTTCATTGATTTTTAGAGAGAGGAAGGGAGAGGGATAGAAACATCAATGAGGAGAGAGAATCATCAATCGGCTGCCTCCTGCACGCTCCACACTGGGGATGGAGCCCGAAACCCAGTCATGTGCCCTAACCGGGAATCGAACCCTAACCTCTCGGTTCCTGGGTGGACAGTCAACCACTGAGCCACACCAGCCGGGCCTGAGTGGTTCTCT